AACAGGAACCTGGAGGGTGGGGGCCAAGACAAGAAGGCATGTGAGGCGAGTGATGGACCCCTGGAACCCGGGGGCTGTGCTATGGCCATGGGGAGAAGAGGAAGTCCCCTGTGAGGGGATGGTTTCCAGATTCTCTGCAGTTGCGGGGGCTGTGCTTTGGCCATGGGGAGAAGAGGAAGTCCCCTGTGAGGGGATGGTTTCCAGATTCTCTGCAGTTGCCCCAGAGGTAGTGTGACCCAGGACCCCTAGGGCTGTGTGTTGGGCACATCAGGTATTCCCAAAGGAGGCTGGGGGTCACCAATTCCCTGGGGTTTCAATTTGGTGATGAAGGGGGCAAGATGGGATCTAGAGACGGCTGCAGATCCTCTGGGAGCTCTGATTTGGGGATGGGAGGTGAGACAGTGACCTGCAGAATCACTGGGGGTGTTCTAGGACCCTTGGGCCAAGCTTTAGGGATGAAAGCAGTACCTGAAGTGCAGGGCAAAAGGGAGGGAGTGATCTCTCACCTGGGGTCATCTGAGCTGTGGCCACTGTAGAAAGAGAGAGAAGGTGGATGAGGGGGGAGATGTGGTCCCCAAAACAGGGTGCAGGGAAAGATGATGTCCTGAGAAGTAACCTCCCCTCAGGAGAGACCAAATGGGAAAGGGGGGCCGAGTGGGAAGGGGAGCTCCCAGAGACACAAAGAGAGAGACAGAAAATTGGAAGTAGCAGCAGAGACCTGGCAATGAGGAGAGACTGACAGGCGGTTAGCCACTCCAGAACTTCCTGCTTACCCGCACCCCTCCCCCCCACACAACAAGGACCCAGGCCCTGAAGCCCAATGGATCTCCAGGAAGGAAAGAGACAGAGAGAAGGGCCCATACTCAGCATCCTTCCCTTCAGATGTCACCCAACCACCCTTCTCACAAATACTCTGCCTGCCATCCTCCATAACCGTTGGCTTCACCTGGGAGCAAAAGCAGGAGCAGGATACGGCCTGGAGGGACCATGATGGGCTGGGGGCTGGAAGGGTCTGGCAAAGGACCGTGGTCCAGAGAAGTCCTGAGGAACAATGGGGGAGTAGAGAGGCAGCAACAGCGGATGTCAGCCTGCTCGTGGCAAGGCCACCCGCTTCCTGTGTGTGTGTGTAGAGGGTGGTGGTGTCCCTGTGACTGCCTTTGGGGAACAAACTGGGGGGATAGTCAGAGAAGAGCAGAGAGGCTGCTATGATCATTGAGGTGGTAGTGACAGGTGGACCAGGGTGTGGGCACTAGGGAGATCTGGAAATATTTTGGAGGTAGAGCCAACAACATTTGCTGATGGAAAGGATGTGGGTGTGAATGAGAAAGGAATCCAGTGTGACCAAGGCTTCTGGCCCAGGCAGCTGAAAAGATGGAGCATCCATTGAAAAAGATGGAGAGTGGGGGGGTGGGGGGTGGGGGGAGGCAGGGGAGTGTGGAGTTTTGGGCACACCGAGTTGGAAATGCCTGATAGATCTGCCTGTGGACATGTTGACTGACAGCAGCCGCATTTATGAGTTCAGGGAGCAAGTCTGGTCTGGAGATGTAAATTTTGGGGTTGATGGCTTATGGATGATATTTAAAGGCATGAGACTGGATGAGATCACCAAGGAAGTGTGAGACTGGATGAGATCACCAAGGAATTGTGTACAGAGACACCCCCCCCCCCCCCCCCCCAGAATGTGAGAAGAGGAGGAACCAGCCAGGGAAACTGAGAAGGAGGATCGAGTGAGGGAGGAGACCCAGGAGACCACGGAGTCTTGAAAGCAGGGGCCAGTGCTGTGGTTGGTCACCAAGTGGGAACTGAGAACAGCCTCCCAGTGGAATGTCAGCAGGCTTCAGGGCTGGCAACACCTGCCTGCTTAGTTCACAGCTGTACCAGAGCATGCAGCAAAGTGCCTCTCATGTTATAATAAATTGTTTTAAATGTTAAATGAATAAACAAAACCTGACCTCCGAAACAGAAGGTGATGTGAGGAAGAGGGACAAGAAATTTGAGCCCGTCAATATCACCCTTACCTAAGGACCTTTCCTCCCTGGAGACCAGGGAGTCCTGATGCCCAGTTCTCTCCCAGGGCCCAGTAATACCACCCCTCCACTCCCCACCCCTCCAGCCAGGGCCCGAGTCAAAGCCTCTAGCAGTCCCTTGGACAGAGACCCAGAAGTCCAGGTCCCCAGTATCCCCCTCCTCCTGGAGTCCGGTATCCTAGACCCGTCAGACCAAAGATCTGGACCCTCCTCCCCACCCAACTCCTTTCCCGGGAGACCAGCCTTCCAAGTCAGCCCCGCCCATTCAGAGATTTGCTCGAGCGCGACGCGGGGACTCCCAAGCCTGTGGGCGGGGCCCTGCCCAGAACTGGGCGGTGCCAGGACCCCAGTTTAAAAACTCGCGGGGGACCAAATCCCAGATCGGGGACCCGGCGGCGGCTCCGCGGGGAGACAGCGAGGCTGGCGCAGCGCCGAGGCCGTGGCCCTGGGGGCCCACAATCCGCGCCACGGAATCCCCGAGGTAATTGGTTAGGGGAGGGTGAGGCACACTCAGCTCCTCAAGAGAGCGAAGGGCTGGGGGTCGGACCCCTGAGTCCACGAGGGACGGAGTTGGAGCATCGAGTCTTGGGTTCTGAGAATGAGGTGTCTGGTGGTGTTGGAGCGGCTGGGATTCTGGACTCCTGGGCCCTGGGGGCCGAGGGGCCTGGGGATTCGGAATCCTGAGTCCGGGGATGAAGGAGGTGGGAGGCCAGACCCCTGGGTCCTGCTGGAGGGGGCTGGGGGCTGGGACTCCTTCCCCTAGAAGGAGGGGCTGGACTGAGTCCTTGGGGGCGTGGTTGTTTAAAATCGGTGTCTGGGGGCTCTGGGGGGAAGGTCCGGCGCCTGGCCGTAGGGCTCACGCTGGCCGCGACCCTGCCCGCGCCCCGGGACTTCCCGGGTCGCCACCTGTCCATGGTCCCCGGGCCGAGCAGGAATTCCCCGTCTGGGGGAAAGGTCCGGCGCCTGGCCGTAGGGCTCACGCTGGCCGCGACCCTGCCGGCGCCCCGGGACTTCCCGGGTCGCCACCTGTCCATGGTCCCCGGGCCGAGCAGGAATTCCCCATGTGCGGGGATTCCACGAGCTCCACGCTTGGCCGCGCGCCCCACCTCTGAGCGGGACACCTGGGGCGCAGGGCCGACAGGGGGAAGGGGCGATGGAAGATTCCCTTGCGTGGGCGCCGTGACGTCAGCGCGTCGCGTCTGGGTTGTTTCCGAGGCTGCCTTCCCCCGCTTAACCCTTCCGCAGCCGGAACGCGGGCCCGGAAGGGTGAGGGTGGAGGGTCCGGGCTTCCCGGGTCGTGGGAAGGAGTCTGAGAACTGGGACCCCCGGGTCCTGCGGAGGACGGTGCTGGGCTCTGGGTCTGCTGGATGGGCCTGGCTTCTGAGTCTGAAGGGGTGGGGGTCGGGGCTCTGGACCTCTGGATTCTTGATGAACTAGAGGCTATTGACTTGTGGTTCCTCGGGGAGGGGCGCTGGGGACTCGGACGCCTGGTCATCTTCTAGGACGGAGAGGTGTTGGGCGCCTGGATGGGAGTCTCCAGGGAGTGATGCCCGGAGATTCCAAAAGCCTCCGGACTGGGAGGTCTGGGGGTGGGATTTTTTACGGAAGGGGGGGGGGTACTGCAGAGGGATGTCCTCCTCCCCCTTCCTCAGTTTCCACGACGCTGGTGGAAAGTTGGTCAATGGGTAAGTGCGGAGCAAAGGGAAGGAAACGGCGGAGGCGGGCGCCGCACCCCAAATATTCTATTGGCTTTGGAGTTCTCAGGCGGCATCAGTGTGCCAGTTTTTCCGCGCGGGAGGGCAAGGAGGGCGCCCGAATCCATTCCCTGTCCTCCCCACCCCGCCGACTCCCCCGCCCATTCGGGTGACTTACGACCCCTGGTGATTTCCCTCCCTTCCGCCCTTATAGTGAGCCGGAATGAACGCAGCCACTGCCCAACACAGACTGTGAAAAAGCTCCTGGAGGAACAGAGGCGCCGCCAGCAGCAGCCTGACGCTGGTGGGGTACCGGTGAGGCCCAGGAAGCCCTGTAAACTACAACTCTCTGAGGCCGTGTCCCTGCAGTAGGGACATATTGTCTTGCTGGGCCCTCAGGGCTGATGAGAAATGTAGTCCAGATTCAAATGCCCCTGTGTGTCGGGAACAGATGGAATTTTCAGATAAACTCACCTTTGTTCCTTTTTGCTTATGCCTCCACAGGGACAGTTCCTGCCTCCCCTGGCTCAGCCCTTGACCCCATCTGTGAATGAGGCCGAGGCTGGTAAGTCTGAAAATTCACCTGGTTCCCTCAGCTCCCAGTTGTAGTTTCCCTTAGGAATTCAAACATCCCAAGTCTTAGAACTTTGGGGGACCTAGGAGTCAGGCCTTTCTTTCTGGGACTCAGTAGAAGTTTGATCTCCCAGATTCTCTGGAGCCCAGTAGTCGATGCTCATAGCCCTTCAGTGTCCCAGGGGCCCAAGCTCCCAGCCTTTTGGTGTTTCAGGAATCCAGGCTCTCAATCCCTCAGTGTCCCAGGAATCCAGGTACCAGCCCCTTGCTGTCCCAGAAGTCCAGGCTTCCAACCCCTTGGTATTGCAGGTTGTAGGCCCCAACCTGTTGGCGTCCCAGAAGTTCTAGCTCTCAGCAACTTGAGAAACTCCAGGCCTTCCAGCCCTGGCTGTACCTTCCCCATCCCTGGTAACCAGGCCTGCTCCTGCCCCTCCTCTCATACGCAGGCCATACTCACTTCCCAGCACACCAGGAGACTGTGGGTTCTGGACTTGGCAGCCTGGCCCCTGCCATGGGCTTTCCAGACTGGGACCCCAACACGCATGCTGCCTACACAGACAGCCCCTACTCTTATCCTGCTTCTACTGCTGAAGGTTTCTTGACTCCTGACTTCTACCCACCCTCGGACCCAGGGCAGCCCTGCCCACTTCCCCTAGGGATGGAGGTGAGATACAGAATGGGGACAAATGCTGAAGGGCTCCTAAAAATTCCCAGTTTCCCTTACTCAGTGTTCTTAGATGGCTGGGGCTGGGTGAAGATTCCATTCCTCAGATGGGCAAAACTGAGGCCTAAAAGTCCAAGGTCACTTAGCCCAAATGGGACACCCAGCCACTTGATCAGGGGCTCTGTATGTGTATGTGTGTGTAGTGGTTAGGCAGAGGGAATTTTCAGCTGACTGGCTCTCCCCATCACCTGTGCCCTTCAGGACCCCCTGGATACCCGGCTCTATGCAGAACCTTCCCTGCCACAGGCCGGATCCTGGAGAGTTTCTGGACTCCCCTCAGGACCCCCACAGCTGCCCCCTGTGGTCACTGGACCATCCCTGGACACAGCCCGAGCTCACATGCTTGCTTTGGGGCCACAAAAACTGCTAGCCCAGGATGAGGAGGGGGACACGTGAGTATAGGGAAATGGGGTCATCTGCAGACTCCTGGCTCAGCTGGGGGTCTGTTCTCACTGCTGTCTCCCACCTGTCCTCAGGCTTCTGCACCTGTTTGCAGCTCGGGGGCTGCGTTGGGCAGCATACGCTGCGGCCGAGGTGCTAAAGGTATACAGACATCTGGACATTCGTGAGCATAAAGGCAAGGTGAGAGCTGGAGGCTAGACTTCTGGGTTCAGGGGAGGAGAGAGCTGGGGGCCTGAACTCCTGGATCCTAGAGAAGAGGCAAATGAGGACCTGAGCTCCTGGGTCTGAGGGTAGAGGGGGCTGGGAGCCTGGATTCCTGGTTTTCAGAGGGGCGGAGGCTGGGGACCCAAACTGACCTTTCCTGTGACCTGTAGACCCCTCTCTTGGTGGCGGCTGCTGCCAACCAGCCCCTGATTGTGGAGGATCTGCTGAACCTGGGAGCAGAGCCCAATGCCACTGACCATCAGGGACGGTCTGTCTTGCATGTGGCTGCTACCTATGGGCTTCCAGGAGTCCTCTCGGTATGGACAGCTGGCAGGTGGGGTGTGTGGGGTTGACTGCCTGGATCTTGGCTTCCAGGGCTTGGAGGCCTGGGGATACTTACCTAGCACTCTGCCTTCTCCTCCTCCCAGGCTGTGTTTAACTCAGGGGTTCAGGTTGACCTGGAAGCCAGAGACTTCGAGGGTAAGTTAGGTGTGGGCAGGGCTGGCATGGCACATGAGGCTAGGTGGGGTGTATGCCCAGATGCAGGTCCCTCACTATCTTCATTCTGCAGGCCTCACCCCCCTCCACACAGCCATCTTGGCCCTCAATGGTGCTATGCGCCCACCTGACCTCTGTTCCCGAGTGCTGAGTACCCAAGCCCGAGACAGGCTGGCTTGTGTCCAAATGTTGCTGCACATGGGTGCTGATCACACCAGCCAGGTGAGCTGGGCTGTGGGTGGCCAGCTCCTAGGAGAGCGTGTGGGTAGGGGCCACCTGGATGTGCAGGGGCTCTAAACAAATGCTGACTTCGCCTCTTCCTAGCTGTGTAGTCTTGAGCACAGTACTTCACTTCTCTGTGCCCTAGATGCCAACTGGGAATAATGTTACCGATCTTATTGTATATTTGTTAAGCACTTACTATTCATCAAGTACTGAGCTTCATGGATTAGCTTATTGAATCCTCACCAACACCCACTGAGACATGTACTATTATTTTCTCTGTTTTACTGACAAGGAAACTGCGGCACAGGGAGTCAAAAATCTTATAACTTGTGAGTGTCAGAGAGGGGGTTAGAACCCAGTAGTCTACCTTAGAGCTCGGCTCTTAATTATGTTATCCTCCTTTCCCATGACGGTAGCTCCTTCACAGGCAGGCTGAGAATTAAACATCACTTAATTAAAAAAATTTTGTTTAGTTAAAGAATTTTTCGGCTCTTAATTATGTTATCCTCCTTTCCCATGACGGTAGCTCCTTAACAGGCAGGCTGAGAATTAAACATCACTTAATTAAAAAAATTTTGTTTAGTTAAAGAATTTTGAACACAGATAAAGTACAGAAAATAATATAATGAACTCCACGTACCCAACATCAATAATCAGCAATTCATGGCCAGTCTTACCCCATCCACTCTTCCACTTTCCTGTTATTTTGAAGCAAACCCAAGCATATATGTTTTTTCCATAAATATTTGTGTCTGTAAAAGATAAGAACTCTTTAAACCTCAATAACATTATCCCACATTAAAATAATTAATGATAACCTCATAATATCAAATATCCTGGTTGTGGTCAAATTTCCTTCTGGCTCTAAAGTGACAACTTTTTTTCCATTTTAAAAAGTCAAGATCCAAATAAAACCCACATATTACCATGATGTATCTTTTAAAGTCACTCTTAATCTAGAGCTTCCTCTTCTATCTTGTTGTTTTCTCTTCATAATTTATTTGGTGAGCAAACTAGGTTGTTTTGCCCCGAACAAGCACATAAAATTGTTAATGCTCATTATCATTATAAACTTAAAGGCACATAATAAAGTTTCATTTTAGGAAGTGTCTTTTATGTTTTTCAAAATATGAAGAGAACAGCTTAATATTGCAGTGGATGTGGGCTTAGTTAGTCCACTAATTAATGCCACCCAACTCCAGTCCTTGTTAATAAAGTACAGTCCATGTGGGACAAAATGCATTTTAATGTGGGTGAGCAGGGCAACCGATAGCCCAGAGTGCTCCTTTTGAGGGATTGGAAAAGGAGCGTTCTCAAAGACACTTGGGCAGGAAATTGTCATAATAAATGTACAGATGCATATGGTGTGAATGGCACCGCCTAGATGTGGTACCGTGTAGCTTATAACACACACAGCTGTGTCAGGCACCCCTGGCTGGGGCTTGCAAAGGAGGGCCAGGGTCTCAAGGCTCCTGGGTTCCATGGGAGGGGCCTGGGTGTGAGGACTGGCCTGACCTCTGCCGTATCCCTCCTGACAGGAGATCAAGAGCAATAAGACAGTTCTGCACTTGGCCGTGCAGGCTGCCAACCCTACCCTGGTTCAGCTGCTGCTGGAGCTGCCACGGGGAGACCTGCGGGCCTTTGTCAACATAAAGGTGGGGGCCTAAGTTGGGATGCGTGGATTGTGTGTGATATGGTGGAGAGGGGCAGTGGGATTTTTTTTCTTTTTTAAAGATGACCGGTA